TAAAGTACTATAATTCTTATTGTTAAACCACTGAATAGAACCTTGTCAGTAAAACTTAGGGTTTCTTCTCGGTTTAGGAATATTCTTTAAAAAAGTTCATTTGAATTGGGTGCAACAGATGCGGCTAATATCAAAATAAAATATGTTTACATGATCAGTTTTCGAATTCCCGTTCTGTGTGACCAGTTAATTTATTTTACCCACTACTATTATTAAATGCTTTACTAGTTTACATACAGTAAATCTTACAAACTCACTCACATAAATATAAGAATAGTATTGATGTTTATGTGAATTTTTTTATTCCAAAGAACGAAATGTTCTGGAAGACTTATTTTAAAGTGATGCTTATAAGTTAGATTTTAAATACAATATAGCCTAGAAAATAAAAGTCACATTTCTTCAGGTAACTAGTAACGTTTCAAATTAAAATTCGTTGATGTGTTTCAAGCAACAGCCTTTAGCATTACTTGACCATACACATACAAAGGTACATTAATTGACACTGTCAGTTCATGCTACCCGTTACGTAACTCACGAGACAGCCAATGTCTTAAAATATCTTCGGATCGTATTAACGCATCATCTATAAGATATTGCCACAGGATACTTACCATTTGGGCTACGTCTCGGTCTATTCCAGAATTCATGATCTTAGAAGTACATAGTTTGAACCAAATCAGTAGTCGCTCTTATTGATGGTCAGTGTTTAGAATGTTGAACTAGTATTTGTAAACGCTACTATGTATGAGCTTAGTAAAACCTAACGGATTTGAATAACCCAGTCCAGACCGCGTCAGTTGACTGAACTACTTTATTGTCCACAAATAATACACCTAAATCTAAGTAAATATTTAATCTGATCATGTCGCGTCAAAAGACTCAGCATTAAATTAACAGTATTTGTTTATTCCAATATATAAAATGAATCGGCTTATTTGGTGACAAAGCGAATCGAACAATACTCGAAACCAAATGCACCCAGGAAGACTACACATTCTTTTGATCACATTTCGATCAACAATGACTTATTTGAAACATGACAAAATCATACTTGGAAATAATGAATCGTCATTTTGAAGTATGTAAATCTGACTCGTGTGCATACTGTCTAACAAGTAAACTAATCATAAACTGGGAGAAACATCATTCAGTGTTCACAGGTTAACCGCTGAGGGTGTTCGAAGAGAGGGAATTCTAAGAATGAAAATTACCACAAATAGAATACCTGGTTATTTATTATATGCTATCTATCTGTAAGATAACACCAGTGAAATTTGCAGATTACATGAAACCATTATTCATTGTTCAACAGAATATACTTTGACGAGACCACAAGTTTTACTGTCTTTACTAATCACGAAGTTATAGTAATCTAACATCGTATAAAACGCACGTCTGAAGTGGTTACTTGTGTGGTCTGATGAAATGTAGTATTTCAAGTATCACAACCAATGAGAGTAAGTGGTTTGATGATGGGTGATCATTTGGTCTGAGAACGATCAGAAAAGACGTCATCATTATATGGTATGATGGCTGGCAGTGAAATCCACGACGAGCATTTTTAGGATGAAAGGATGCACCAATCATACCCTCCGGAATATTAGCGATGAATTGACATAAACTGTATGTACAAATAAAACCTTGGTACTAGTTGAAGTCTACGTAAATATATTGACTGAAGAATAACATTTTTGTTCTCAGCCATTACATGTGGACAAGATTTTCGACAACATAGTCACAGTTCAATATAACAGGTGTATAAATCAACGGCAAGTATTCATGATATCGATTAGTAGTTGCCGATTCATTATAGTAATTCTACACTACAAACATTTGTTGAAACGGTGAAAATACTACTGCAAGTACAAAAAAGTAAAATTGTGGAGTACAAAATGAGCAATCAATCAATGAGTGACCAAAAACAAGTGCACTTAGAAAAATCAAATGTTTGTTCGATCACATTGCAACTTTTATAAGCGCACTTTACACACGTAACATAACAATGTTTGGAAATAATAAATCATCATTTCGAACTACGTTATCACTTGTCTGTCTATTGTATACACTTGGTTCCTCAATCAAATATCTTCACTTGATCTATCCCGTTGGACACTACAAATACAACTACTCACAACCAGTTGATGTAAATGAAGCTCGTGCTCACCAGATTGATCGCAAATACATCCGATCAATCATCCTGTATGTTGTTGGAATATGTATATTGATATCAAGTAATGTCTTACTGAGCTATTCTGTGTTGTATTCAATCGTGAAACATGTGTGCAAGTCAGCGATTCGATCGAGGGAGGTGAATGTCTGTTGCCTCACAAATTATTGTTCAACAACACTGAATTCTCTTCATGATAAGAATAAGCTGATATGAGCAAAGTAGTTCGATGTTGAATAGGATTGTTCTGATAGATGTATTGATGTAGCTATTTGGATCAATGTACCGTTATTGAGATACACATTGTGCTTTTCGCATCTGATTTTGTTGGGTTCTTGTGCACCACTTTATTTTATGTGAACAATAAATGCAATGACAGTATGTGCGTTTTCTGGGGTTTCAAAATGTGTGTTCTGTCTTTTTGCAACAATCTGTCTCGTGAGTTGTCAATTTATCTTTCCATTAATGGAAATGAAATTTCAGAAATGGTTTGCTTTATGTTTTCTTGAATAAATGTTTTCATGATAAATGTCTCTCGTCGTTTTGTGTTTAAAGAGGACACGCATGTGACTGTGTAAAATGTGAAGGTAATTGTTTAGAAGCACGAGTTTCGATGTGCAACAGTATGATGTTCATAGTTGATAGACAAGAAGACGTGTTCAGTACGATCAGACAATGTGAGGTGATACTCAGAAGGATGCGTGACCACAGGTGTGTTTATAAGAGAGACACAATTAAGTTGTATGTAGTGTTATCCGACCTGTGCTATTACAAATGCTGTCATCAAATAAAAATATTCTTCGTTTTCCTATACTGTGATCATGGTATTGTCGTTATAAATATACTTTCCGTAATGTTGAGGGACTTTGTGTTTGAACACCACCCATCGTTCAACTGCATGTATTAGTAGTATGGATCAGAATGGTTTTTATTACTTCCAAGTGCTATATAATTGCAAACGTGGCAGCCAAACTGAGTTAGATAAGGTATGTGTTGATATTAAGAAATCTTTAGATACGTTTGATAAAGATTTATAGGAAGTGTGATGTGACTATTCATGTACATTTTCGCTAGAGGCTGGTATATTCCTCGCAATCTGGACATTAATTCATATCGTCCCTAAAAATAAATCTGGGCGAAAACACCTAGTACAATACCACTGATCTTTTAATATTACCCAACGTATCTCACATGCAATGGAGAAAGTGAAAAATATCAACCCTCTGATCACTGACTTAGGGAAGGTCTCATTTATCATCCACAAAATGGCTTCATTAGAACTAATTCATGCACTACATGTCTGCTAGATTTCTTTAGTGATGTTAAAAGCGTACGAGACCGAAAGCAACTGGTTATCGTGTTGTTTCATGATGTCAAAGGGCTTTCAAAACGGTACATCACAATCAACAAACTTCAGTCCATCGCGATTACTGACTTTCCCACGAACAGGTACCAAAACACCGAAATAAAGTCTACTTCATCTACACCTCGACCAATTATCAGTGGTGTTGTGCAGCTTAGTGTTTTCGGTCCACTGCTTTTTATAATCTACATCAAAAGCATATGCAGTTGCTCCAACACTGGCAAAACCTACCTCTATGCTGATGACCTAAAAGTGATCTATAAGGCTAACAAATCTGACATTAGAAAGTTGATGCACACAATTCAGTATAACTCAGAAATATTTTTGACTGGCGTGAGCATGGGAACTTAGAACTTGTAGTGGAATACTTTTATGGAGAGAGCGCGACTAGTTAAATAGAAACATTCATTATTGTAACCAATTGCACCGTTGATCCTTTAGTCGTACTTTTTTTTATAACACTCCTGACGCACATATTTCTGTTTGTGTTGCTGCCATTCTTTGCTCCAACGGCTCCATAATTTCGCCCTCTTATCTGGTTGATTTTGGTGTTCTTTCAACACTACGAAATCTCCAACAAATATATTCTTTATCCTGGATTTATTTATCTTCTCAGTAACGGGGTCGTAATTAGAATGATGTGGTGATCATAATCAATCTCGACTCGGTCGCCACTAAAATTGGTGAGCCTGACGTGATTCGAACACGCATCTGGATGCCTTTTGGAGACACGTCTATCAAACTGAATCTCACTCTCAGCAGGAATGAACCTCCTAAACTCACATCAGTGACTTATCTAGGAGAATATTGCTCACACGGCTTTAACTTCTCTAAACATATTCTCAGTTTCATTTTTCGGAACTTCCTTCATAGAGAATGCAGAACATTTCTCTAAAAAACATATAAAAGACCTCTTGCCGAATACTACTCATTCTTATTTTCTAACTTACACTGATCTCATCTGTTGAAGCTTGAAGGGATAAGAACGAGTTTCACTCAAGTGATACTAAATTATAATTCACTCATTATTTATCCAACTCGGTTTCATGAACTACTGCTTGATCCACTATGGAAAAGAAGGCTTAAGTCCAATCTGTCCTCTACTTCAGGCTCTTGTGCAAGCTCGCATACTCCTCTTGTAGTGTAGTACTTATCCAACGCCCATGTATAAATAACCTTTGAGATAAAGTATTTATGTTCAAACGTGAGTAGTAGAGATCCGAAACTCGCGAAAACTTCTTCCTCACTAAGTATGCACTGATATGGGATAGCCTTTCCTGATAAATGCGCATGGCAAGTGGGCTACACGAGTTAGTACAGCTTCTCGATGAGGTTCTATGTTGCACTGATTCATCCGCACGCGTGTACACACTCGCACCCTGCTTTCATACTATTAGCTCTGCACACATTTGAACTACATAGATCTGAATGCTATGTTTTATTTATTGTTTCTTTATCCTTCTAATTAGCATTAAATTATTCTACTTGAACAAAATTCTCTTTAGTTCTTACCTGAAATTGAACGGTTACTCACTGGGTCGATCGACAATGTTCAACTGTATACTGGCTCATTTGCGACTGTTTGATCTAACCTGTAATCTGGCGCGCCTCTTGCGACACGCTGTTATTTGAGAAAAAATGTATCATGATGCAGTAACTAATCAATATTCATCCAAAAATTTCAAAATCTCTTAAAACGTTACAAAAGTATATATTGAACTGATGATTGGTAAATTGAACATTATCTGTAATCTGCAAAGATCTGTTGGACATCTTCATCATCGATAGATTTCTTTCCTTCGGTACGATTTTAAGTATTTTCCTAGTGTGCAATAGACGGTAGTCAAGTAACTTGACTGCACCCGTTCCAATGGATCGGCAGGTATTTATGAATGTGTATACCGTATGGTTTGAATGAGTACGTTTGTCTCAGGGGAGTAGGCTTTCTGAATATTGGCATTTACTAAGTTACCAGTCTGTTGCAATGTGTAGAGTAATCAAGAGAAAATCGAAATTCTAATGAGATTTCAGAGCTACGCAAAAATGTGTAGATAAGTTCAACATTTGATAGTGAAGAATGTGTGGGAAGAAAGAAGTGTAAGCAAGTGGAAGGAAACATCGATAATATGCTTGTGATCTGAGGAAATGACAAGAACAACGACTAGCAAGTTTCGAGATATGCATGGGGCACAATGAAGCCACGAGAGAAATGATAATCCGTATGTGAGTACGTGTTGGTCAAGTGTCTTTTTTAAGTCGTCCACTGACGGGCCTGTGGTCACTTCGAGTGAGAAAGTACTTGAAGTCACAACAACTCTTGATGAGAAAAACTCTCCAGGAACCCGGCTGTTTGATCTTTGACGCGCAATTTTCCGAGGATTACCTCGAGAAGCCTGGTGGTGACCCTACGGTAAGATGCTCATGTTGGGATGATTCGGCGTTGTCAATATGTTTTTGTGCCATTATTAGAACACCTCATAGTAAATTTTGTTCTTCAGCCCCATCATCCGTTTCGTTGCACAGCTCTTTACTCCATTTAGGAGTCTAACGTCCGTTTTCAGATGAGGGATGCGACAACTTCGTGAACCTCAAGGTGTGCGTGCGCGTATATTTTATGCAGTATTAGGAATAATTCTGAGGTGGGTGCACCAAATTATATTCGCATATAATGAACAGTCGTGTTAGCCATGGTTTCCTCCCCCATGTAGTTTGAACTAGTGTCTAGGCTTTCTGTTCTTATTAAAACCAGATCGGGCTTTGAGGAGACTATAGGCTGTCAGTTGTTTTTGTCACACTGGGTAGAGTATTCGTTTTAACTCGTTTGTCACTGCCACTCTTCAGTTAGGCCCTATTGAAGCTCAGTTGAAATCTCTTGACCTCTCGTGTTCCTCCGAATCTATGCGTCTTCTGAGTACATCACTACCGCTAATTTAATTTTGTCTTAAAGATCGTTGATGAATATGAGGAAGGAGAGTGAATCTAAGATTATCCCTTGTAAAACTCTTGATGTTGAGACACGCGAGCTCTGATGCACTCTCCTTACCATGGTATGAAACTATTTATTCTCAAGGTAGTTCCTGAGCCAAGATGCTAGTGGGTTAGTCAAGTTCATATTCGCAACCTTCGCAATTAGGGTTATCTGGCGTAATGTATCGAAGGCTTTTGAGAAGTCAAGAAATATTTTATGAACCGATATTTTTGGATCTCATCAGGTTGTCTAACCATCCCATGCCATGAAGAGAGCAAATGAATACGACCTGCCTTTTCTAAACTCTCGTTGAGCTTCATGGAAGATTCGTTCTCATTTGTTCATACATCACTCCTTCTATTAACTTCGACCGTATTTCCATTTGGATCTTTGAGGACACAAACGCCCTGGTGCAAGGCTTCCTTTTAATCGTGAACCTAAACAGATATTTAGGTTTTGCTTGTATTTTGGCAGCTATCTTCATCTGGAAGTGTTTCCAATTACTTTAAACTACAGCCGGAATCCTCCAGAGAGACCTTCCACTTGTATCAAGCTCTCTTTTCCGCCTGTAGCAAGAATTTTATGTCCCACTTATTCCAAGATCGATTTCCGCGACGTGTGATGTGCCTGGGACTCTTTGTGTGGGACAGCTTTGCGGTCGAGCCCTCTTATTATTTGCCCTCGGTTATCCATTGTTATCCTCCTTTATTGACATGGTCGAGGGGCACGTCGAAGATGCTCACTCATGAGCGCGTACTTTGCCTTAGTGAAGCGAAGGTAGTGAATGTTTCCGAACCACCGGTGTATTTCATTTTGGAACATGTTAAACACGTTCGCGCAATAACAGTTGCTTTACTGCTTCAGTCAGTTAATCTTTCCTAACCACAGTACATGGAAGGAGCTGTACCACTGTTAGTTCCGCGGGAACTGATTGGTTTTTTTGCTTGTGTAGTACGGTTAGTCGGCGAAACAATGATCTTCGTATCTTGTGCCGTAGGTTGTTGATTAAGCTCGACTGCGATTAATGTGCGCTTATCTCGGCCTCCATGTTGTTGTCTCGCAAATCTATGTTGGTTTTCACACCATTTGATGTGACTAGAGAGATCGTTCTTTCTTCTCTACAAAGCCCGAAGCGGCTCAGTTAGGTCCTCCGGGTTTCTGAAGTCCACAGCCATCAAAAGTGGAAACTTAATAATGGTTAGTTGTGGCGGACGAGGCAGGCGGAATATTCTGTGTAGTAACCATTGCCGTTGTTATACGTCATGTGAATGAGCTTTATCCATGCAGCCACTAACCAGTTCAGGCACTCTTCGAACTATCACACCATTTAAGTGTTACAATTTCCTTTTCTTACACTCATCAACTGCTCCCTAATATTAACAGATACTGGGGAATTAGTAAGTTTTATCGGTGTAAAGGTCCGGCTTTCGGCTAAGTTAGGCGAAATGTATTTATTTTGGAGATCGGTTATTGAATATTAGGTAGAGCCTGTGGCTTCGCTTCTGTTAAAGTTTATGCTTTGTGGATAAGCCTACCAGAAACATGGATTTAGGGAATTCAAAAGTACTGTCTAGGTACTACAGTGCCACAGCGACAATATACTTTTAGTGGGATGAGTCGCGGTTGACTATGACTAGCACTACAGATCAATTACGTTCGCGCCACACATATTAATATCTCCCCTTATTAAGACAGAATAAAACTTAATACATTTGCTAGCGATTTCGTGATATCGAAGGGATACCGAAATCGTGTCAGAAAAGAGGGGCAGTCACAGTGAGCAGTTTGCCCAAAAATGGCAGCAACACAAAAAGAAAGTTTGCATGTAAGTTTGAAAGGGGAAATCATTAATGTTGAAGTTCAGTGAATATATACTTCGCAAAAGTAGAACCTGAAAGACTCTAAAAAAATGTACGGTTTCTTTCGGCCGTTTTAGTAAGCAACTTCGCGTGGATCCAATAACTTCTCCACAAGCCCCGGGTTTACGAGTGAATAAATGTATTTATGCTGCCTTAGCAACTAGAAAAGCAGCAGTTATTCGAGAGAGCTGAAGTTACCGCAGAGTGGTCCGAACTTGGAATGATTATTTTTGTCCGAAATCTCGGGCTGCTAATGAATGGAGAGAATGTTTATATTCTCAGTAATGATTGAATGTTCAAACATGGTGTCGAAAACCGGATTGTACTCTATAAGTGGTGGTAGGTCAAAGGAGACACGTCATTTTCGAAGCGTGCGCTGTTGCAGATGCGAAGACCAGATATTGTTAATCCTGAGTAGTGTTCTTATATTTGAGAAATATCTCCAAGTCAAAATGATTGTGTAACGTTAAATTTTCAAATGGTTTAGTCTGACAATACATTGCGTCCTGAACTGTGTGAATAGCCACATGTCTAATTGAATAAGAGAAAGAAAATAGAAGGAGAAAATATTAACTGATGACACGGTGAAAGGATATAATGCACTCACAGTTATCTGGATGTTATGATGGATAGTAGAAAGGAATGATGATCTTGATATTGACTGATGAACACGCATCAAGTATCATAAAAGACCAGTAATATCACAGCACGATGAGAAAAAACAATGTATGAGTAGTACAGCGCTGGTTTATCGACTGATAGTCAGTCGATAAAACAGAGGTTAACGAATCTATTTAAGCAATACGAAGTCAGTAAAAAAATTACACAAACCAAGTGAAACCGTGAAAGCTGCTAATAATGGTGAAAACCATTCGAGAATTAAGGTCACTTTAATTGTCCTAACAGGGTTTCGTTAATCTGGAAGAAATCAGAGGCTTTCTACATGATGGTCCACTATGTAACAGTGAATTCAGTACTTGTTTAGTTTCCCACACTTGTGGTCCAAGTTTTAGAGAAACACCACTAATTTCCAGACCACTATCTTAATATGCCTGCTAGACCTTATAACGATTCTCACAGATTTGTAAGGTTAGTGCCGCCGGATTCAAAACCTTGACTTGTTGTTAAATTTTCTGGTGAGTATACGTATGTCGGACAGTGACACCGTATCATTGCTCAAATTCACCGAAAATGTGCTTCAAGATTATCGCAGTCTTGTTTCAGAGACAAAGCGGCGGTTTATTCCTATTAAAGAAGTAAATACACTCAAACTTCTGACATTTTAGGCAACTGAATCACAAATTCCTAAATTGAGAGCTATCATAAACAGTGACACTGAACTGCGAGCAGGTTAGTCATTTAATTTTTTACTACAGCATAATTTAGCTCTCCGGGGGTCGTGTTGTTCCTTAATCTCTCCATTCCTTAGTGGTTGTCTCTCGAAAAACCAGAAAATAACAGTATTGTGTTTAACTGCACTTCAGCGCTTTATCAATCAAAGGTGCTTATCAGAGGTAAATCATTTGTTACTTTTAAATTGTCCAGGATGTTTCCGAGGCTGTCGTTGACACACTTTGGCAACTTGCGGAGTCGAACATGGAGGAATTACGCCTACTCCAAACTACTATTTTGCTTCTCACAAGCTCATCCTTGATATGTGGATCTCAACTTGCAAAAGTACATTTCAGACCTTTGTTTTTTTTTAATTTTTTTTGGAATATACTAAGTGAATTCAATCAGCTAAGTTCAGATAGCCTGAATAGATGGGTTAGTGGTTGTTGCATACTAAGTTATAATCGTAATTCAAATATAGATGTGTATGTGTTTAATAGTTATGTATTTAAGTTTGAGTATTTTTTTTTGAATTTCTATGTGACTGAGTGAAAGTTTTCATGCAATGAATGTATCAATATTTCGAGAACGATGCTTTTGTTGAATAACCACAACTACAAAGCTCATAAAATTGTAATTTCTTTTATTTTGATGTTAGTAATTAATAAGTGATCTTCTGTATTCCAATACTTGAAGTTTCACCAGTTTTTAGTTCTCTTACCATTTTCATTGACATATTTCTTAAAAATCTAAACAGTAGTATATTCGGATGATGAAGTGGAATCAACTTGCAAGACCATTGGTCACATAATAGTTAGTCTGTTGACCATCTAAATTGTTGGTTCCAGATTCAAAGTATTTTGCAATCAGATGGAACTGTCTAGTTTTTATTTTACTGCTAATCTTAACTTGATTATCATGTTCATATGCATTCCCATCTTGTCTTCTAGTTTTTGTTCTGAAGATGTTTTGATTTAATTTGGGTCAGCAGAATTCACTTTGATGGAGAAAGTTAGGATAGCACCAAATAAATGATTATACTTATAAGCGCTATCTATCAAGTCTGTTGGTTAACTAGCACTGAATATTACTCTGTGACCTTGTCAATTTCTCTACACTAGGCTATAAGCAAGGTTTAATGTGCACAGTCAGATTTGATTGCATAAATGCAGTTGAAATTCTTAAATATGCCTGAAATATAAGTTCATAAACCACCAATGTATTACCTGTACGCTTGGATTCCAAAACAGTTTCCTTATTTTTCTCTTAGGCTTTCACTATATGTTTAAAACTTCATCTTTCGAAATCACCTGCCACTGTAAACACGGCAGCAGCAGCTGTCCGCCAATGTGCAAGTACTGTATTCGACCGCGTGTTCAAGGAAGAGCTGGTCATACAACCTATGGATTCAAGTAAACAAAAGGCAACATGTAAGTTAAAATTCTTTTAGCGAGCCAAAAATGTGATGTTTTGGACGATAATCGATTATTCCTTTAGTTCGTTTCTTATTTAGATATCAGTTTGACTCTGACGTTGATAATACTTAACGTTGAGCTTTAGTAATTTTTCATATCACGCGCTCCTTTTTTGGGATTTCAGCTGGAGTCGATGATATTCATCCTGTGAATCCTTCGGAGTTGAAGTCTTCTGAAAGAGATGCCTATATGCTCTTCCAGGTAAGCAGTCCTGGTCTCGGTTGTTTATAGTTAATGCTTATCATTTCCAATATTTGTCTGATATGTATACATACACCTTGGTTTAAATTTACGATTCGGTGGACTGTTCTTAATAAATTCTTTTGTACGTGAGGTAGTAACTAATCATTATTAGATAAAGCCCGAAAGTTTGGATCGTGTTGACAACCTAACATGTATTGCTTGTTGGTACTTTCCTACAAATTGTGCCATCAGTTGTTAATAAATTTATTGCTGATAGCAATAGAACGTGTTTTGTATTTTGGTTGCAAATTTTATTATGTAAAGTATTGAAACAGCATTTCATCTCCCGAATGGATGAATAAATTTCATCCCTAAATTGTTGAATTTTGACTTATGCTGAGAATTCAGGTAGCCGGATTTAGTTAAGACCTGATGGTTCTTTCATGTAAACAAATTATATTTGCTAACACACAAAATAAATGTTTTTAATAAGTAGGTTGGTCTTTGCTGTGTATTATACACTAATAATGAAAATGCTTTCAACGAGTATTCGCTTATTTCTGTGTAGATTAATATATCAGTAATTTGTAACCATTCTGCCAACTTTTCTGTAGGATATTTGTCTACTGATGAGTGATGATACATGTATTTGGTTATGTGGCACAATACAAATAAATAAAGTCTTGGGTCTGGAGCTAATTGAATCACTTATCTTCTCGTATCCTAGTTTATTTTGTCAAGTGAGTTTTAATTTGGTTGCGTTAATAACTGTACTTTTCGATGGCTCTCCGCCCGATTGAGATATTTGTCTAAAAAATCAACTCAGCTTACTCTCTCCAACTTCCGTCTAATAATATTTCAAACTCTTGCAAATAAGACGTACATACATACATAAGAAACATTTCTGAAGGCAAATCCAAAAATATGCACGGCAATGCTATTTTTGGAAATACAAATCAAGTATGATTGTTATTTCTACAGACATAAAAGTTGTTCATATTGTGATTTTGAATAAAACTGTGGAACATCTCAGTTTGCGATGAAGTTTTCATCAATGGTCTTATTGAAAACTAAACACTTTATTCAAAGGAGATTCCATTTTACTGTATGAGTGTTTCTTCAGCAACTCTATATGAATTATTGATAATACCTTAATCGGATAACTTGCTTTTTTGAACACTCGTACGAAATACATCCATCATCATATCGCTACCATACAAATTCAGTGTGATTAACAGGATTTGACTGCGCTTTACCCCAGCTGCTTCGTTATTACAGTAGGTCAACTAATGTGTCTTGTGCTAAGAAATCCAACTTCGAACTTCACAAATCATTGAAAAGTTAAGTGAGGCAACCTGTTTTTTTTATATTTCAACACAGCATCCTGCTTTTGCATATTTACTGAAAACGAATTTATGCCCGCTGGTGATAAAACTATTTTCTCCAAGTTTAAAATTACACTCAACTCCATTGGCTACATCTGGCGGTGGGGGAATAACGGATGTTGCCTCAGCTGCATTTGCCGCTGCAACGGCTGCACTAACCAGTGTCAGTGGAGTAGCATCATCGTTGTCATCATTATCTGGTGCTTCAAATGACTTGCTGAATAGTGAAAAACCAAATTTTGCGTTGTTCGTTCGCTTGAAACGTTTGATCATTGTCATCGTTAATCATTACTTTCATCTTTTGGTAAGTAAACTAATGTTTATCTGAGAGTTTTTTAAATACATACAAATTAGGATTATTTCAATCAAAAGCATGGCTTTAAGTATAAGTTCTCACATTCTATAGCTTTTCAAGCTAAAGCTTTCAAATGTCTTGTCAGCTATGGTCGCCAAGTGCTTGTTAAAGCCCTTAACGTTCGATAACTGCGTGAAATCGTATCAGTACCTCTACGTCGATTCCCGATGATAGATAGCTTAAGTGTTTCTGAGACATCCGTAGAGAACGTAAGTATTATTGGCTTCCTTACGTTAACCAATCTTTTTAATGATTGAGTGTTATTTGCTTGATAAATTTGTACAAGAGGATTGAATGGTGACTTTTGGGCGTCGAAAGTTCAGGGTATACCTAAGCGAGGAACTCCGTTTTTTTGGTGTAAGTTAAGTTGGTAGATCTGCAAGATAACCACAACTAATGGTCAAAGACGTTGAGTCAAATGGCTCAGAATCTATCTTTCTTTAGATCTCGGATTCACGTATTCCTTCTTACGTATCTAGCCTGTTAGAACCATATTCTCAACGTCCAGTCATTTTCGTTATTATTGATGCTACACTATTTCTCTGTGTTTTGCCATTAATCTTGCTATTCTCATCTCACCGTACGATGGGATTTGACAACTTAAGCTGACGTACATCTTTACCAAGCTCTACTGTCGTAACTGACTGGCTCTGGACTCTCCTCTAGTATATTCCTGTGCTCATCATCTCACTAGTGTGAGAAAATGGCAAAAACAATCATGATCAATACCACCTATAATTTGCCGCTACTAATTTATGTCATCCGGATGACTGATTCAAATAAACACTTTGATATCATAGGCTGATTTTATGTTCTTATGGGGTAATCTGATCCGTATAAACTGTTTGTAATATTCAATATTTCGATTGTCTTTCATAACTGTGTATTAAATTTTTTTCGATCATCGATAACACGTTTTGACGGATTCCATAATATGACATTTCATCGACTTCAAAAGGCATTGTAAATTAGTAACTACATCTGTTAAATAGTTGTTAGCCTAGTTCAGCCCTATTCAATCCTTCGAATAAAATGTTTTATTCTAGATTTGGCTTTTATTTTGTATCAGATAAACAGATTCTCAATCCTCCATTTACATCATTTAAGATAGTTGATGTTAGTAGTGTTCCTCCCTATATTCAAATGGATATCACATACTCTTTACAGTCTTTTTCCAACCATCATTACAAATCGCCTTATGTAACGAAAAAAAAGGTTTCATAGCCTTTTTATTTAAAAAACCTACCAAAAATACTTTCTTTTGACTTAAATTTTAATTAGTATTCCGACTGTTTTCGTTGTGATCGTCAAGTTTTTAACCTAGAAATAACTGATTTTTTCTTCTTGTTTATATTTTGAAAAAAAATCATTATTCAGAATACAGAATGTGAAATCTATCTCTCTTTGCTTATACGATTTTTGGATGTGAACAAGTTATTGTGGCAGCGTGCATTAGCATTAGAAGTTCTATACAAAATTGTGGAACAACCGGAATTGGTTAAGTAAGATTCAAACTACCTAATGATACTTTGATATGCCTCTATTTTTCAATGGATACAGTTTAAACTGATATTTAATAGGATAGGATATTTAATAAACTAAACATTAATTTGAGAAATATATTTTTCGATTTATCAATCAAGGAATAGGCTTTTTAAAATATTCGAATCCTAAAATATTGCAACCAGTGTTAAAGCAATTAGGAATAGAGAAAGATTCATCTAGCGAGTGTACTCTTTATTGATAAGTCAAAAACTTCCTGAAAATATTTCTTGTAAATAATCATAAGTAAATGATAATACCTTAATGATTATTATCATTTTACAGAGTTATTTGTTGTAAGATATTTGATTTTATTGCTTAAATGATTATTGTTTATGTTGTATCTTTTGCGCTATATATAATGTTTAATCAGCTGTTTCTTCACCTCTTCACATCGTAAATCCTTTAGAATATTATTTATGAATGATACATTTAATATTTTTAGATTGAGCTGCATTCGTCTCATCATTTGAACCATTGTTAATCCAAGTTAATGATAGAGTGTTAAATTGTGATGATCTTTGACCATTAATGTAACTTGGAATTTAGTTAGTTTTTCCCAGTTTGTTTATAACTCATGGGAAAAATGTGTGTGGGAGTATGGAGAGCCATCACCACTTTTAGTTCATTTTCTGAAATTTTTTTTGACACAATGGTATATTAACAGTATAGGAGTTGTGAATTTAATTCAGAAAAAAACCTCCAAGATTGTGTAAATCATCGATAAACTTTTTATCTAGGTTTCTAATGTGTCTTAAGTTCCAAAATATACTGGTTTTTGAAGTCAAACCATACAGGCTAACTGTTTCTCATTCAGTCCAACGGTTCTGAGGTCGAATCTTTGAACAGTGAATTACTGACAGATCTGTAATTATAAATTCTTCAGTTTGCGTGTAGTTAACCCTATCTTGTTCGTCTTATAATTTTATGCTGTTGGTATAAATTTCATTTCATTCATTTATTGTGTTCTTAAACATTGAATAATGAATCGACTGGCGGCTTTTCTCATAGGGGTTTGTAATTACCTGTTGTGATGATTGCTTATATTCAGCATCTAAGCACAGTTAATGCCTCTTAAAAAATATTTAGCAAACTCATGTGTCGAAAATAATTGTTAGTATAAAGCTTTTCATATTGTAGTTTATCGATTATTTCATTACATTTATGAATAGTTGGAAATTTCATTACCGTGACTAACTAACCATTGGCATTATTTTGAGACATACTATTTTGGTATTTTCTTTTGACAATTTGCTTTACAATTATATATCTGATATTAAAATTTGTTCTCAGTAAAGCATATTCTATAAAGCTGATTGTTTTTAAATAAGAATGAACTTTGATGAAATAAATAATGATAGATTTTATCTTCTATATTGATAAATGTACTCTGTACTAAGGCCCATTATTATTATTGACCTGGGAGTTCATAAGTTCTGAAGTTATCATTAGGAGTAAGTTTTTCAAGATAATATTAACCATGGGGTTGTGCATTTTGTTTTAATGGAGTCCCTAACCTAGGTTTCATGCATTGACATTCGTTGACAAGATGTATCTACAAACATGAGGTAACTGATACTCCTTGTGTTACAGTTAGTGTCTCAACATTAAGTTGTTTATATCACGACTTGTCTCCTATAGACCTGAAAATTGGATAGTAACCAACGTTCAACCTTCTTTATACTAGGGAACTAATTATTTCGATCGAGTTACAATATGGTCACCTGTCTAAAATGAATCCAAATCCTATAGAGAGCGTCATTTTTCTCAAGATTGCTGATACAGCTAACGGACGAGTGTTAGATAAAATGTAACCTAGGTCATTGGCTCCCTACCACAAAGCTTCCGATCATCTAATATAACGTAGAGCACGCTGTGTTGAGTCATGTAAATGAATAATTAGTTGACTGACAAATTCAATGAACAGTAATATCAAAGAAGATGGTATACGTTACAATGTATGTGACCAGCCATTTTTATAGAAATTCTTTCTTTGAGTGAATTTTTTTCACTATCCGAATTCCTAGTCTACAAATGCATATCTACAATATTCTCTAGTTCACTTTAAAATAAATAACTCTTGTAATTAGGCTACTGTATATGATGTCATTTTTAATTTTTCACTGAATCGTTTAACCTACAATATGAATAAAATTGAGTACCATTGCCGCTCCTCTCCTCTCCATTGTTACCATTTTAGGCATATTTGTATTTCCTACGACATGAGACAGCATGCAACAAAAATATTCCATGAACTCTTAAGTGCTTTTGGGCACTACATACAAACATCTTTAGCTAATCCATGTCCAGGTGATGAATTATGTAAGTGTTTTTTTTCAATGTGTTTTATTCATAGCTACTACAATATACTAAAGGTTTATATATTTTTCAGCATTCACAGTTAGTGAGGATTCCACTGAACAAGTCATGGTATAGTTCGGAATTTCATCCGGAAGAGTTTGTGTCTTATGGACATAGACGTTTTTCGATACACCGGCTCATTTTGAAGCTTTGATGACTAATATTTTCCATTTTAACTGGCAGTTGACTGTAAATTTTTGAAGGAGTTTTGACCATGTTAGTTAATATTTAGAATATTTATTTAGTTTATATTAGCGCCTCAGTCAGACAGTATTACGTTTTAGTTTTCGTATCAGAAGTAAGTAACCAGTTTGCTGTAAATTTCTCGTCTCCGTATGTCGCACGAATATTTCGTCAGTTTTGATTTACTTACTTATTAAATGTAAGTAGTCAAAATTTCATACATAATGAAGTGAAGTGAATCACACTAGGAATAAAGTTAATCTTAATTAGTGTCAGTGTTAATTATTGAGTACCAGTGATAAATATTTCGTACTACCTATTATTTTTCGTACCTTCCTAGCGTTCATTATTTTTCTATCTATGCAGAAAATGTCCAGGAATAAAACCTTAAAAGACGCGTCAATTTTTATCTGTCTGCTATTTATCGGAGCTTTCCTTCACTTTAGTGGATAAAAATTTGGTTACATTTTTCTACAGAGATAATGGGGAATCTATAAAATGAAATTTATATGCAAATACTCAATTTGATTTCTTCGGCATATAGAACTTTACAAAATAATTTATTTTCAGCAGAAACAGTGACACTCATTGAACTAGAATAACATGCGATAAGTTCAGTCTTTTTACATAAAAGTTGGGTTGGCACTTGTTAGAGGATAGCTATCAAGTTTACTAAATAGACGACATAAGATCTGATTTCCCATCCGATTCTAAATACTTTAGACTACACTGTGACTTAACCACAAGATAAAAGGCGCGAAGTAAGGGATGAACGCTTTACTCCAAGGTTATTTTATGTACAGAAAATAAAGTTTCTGTTGATTTACTGATGACCTTGTGATTTTGGAACGTTCGAAAACCGTACTAAACGTAGTAGCGTTATAGCCAGATGTTCACTCCGAATCGTGGCACATGATTCTTCACATTCTAGATGTTTCTTCGAAGGTTTCCGGGCCTCCATAGATCTTTCTGAAGGATATTTCAGAATTTTTCCAGCAGAATCATGAAAAACTTATCTTTATTCAGGTTATGTGCTAATAAATACCCTGTATCTAAACTGTCTGAATGAGAAAATATCCTGTCATCAAAAACTGTCTGCCTTAACTTGACCTTTATTTAAATACTGAATTGTGGGGAATCGGTAAACTGGACAGACACTTTTGATTCCATAGCTAAATATAAGCCATTTAAGGGATCTATACTTTCAAGAAGTCACATTATCAGTTCATTGTATTTATATATGACTAATAAAAAACCAACATCAATCAGTATTCAACTCAGTTATTCATTAATAATATTTCCTTGTTTTTCTTAATACTCAAAATCTTACAAATTGATTGTTACAGGTAGTAGTTATCACCCGTGAATAGTAAATGTGAGATTAGTTACAACATCTACTTAAAAAATTATTACCAGTAATTTTCATTTCCTTCTATTCCCCTTTTAAGAATAACATTGAACACAATAAAATGGGTTAATGAATTTTTATGTTCATCATACTCAGATAGTTTAATGTGTAAAACAAATTAAGTGGTGATTAGATCTAATAGGTACTATTTCGAAGTCTGCTGTCACTCATGGTTGAATTGTTAATGCATTTCGGTCCAATGTATTGTAGCATTAAACTATGAATAATTATTTCCGATAATTACAAGTTAGATTTAAGTCTATTCACTGGATTTGTTCTTATCAAACAAATTGGTTGCCAGATGTAAGATTTTATAAAAAAAATTGTTACAAATAACTTGCACTCCTTCATGCATCATTCATGTAAACAATTGATTTTATCATGTTTTACACGTTGTTTTCTCTACCGTTCTACATATAATTAAAGTCTTATGTTCATTACAAAATACAATTCACTTCCGTTTCTTTACTTTGCAAGTGTAATTTTGATTCATGTTTTTCTATATTCTCTTAATTAATTACATTTTTATAGCTAAAGATAACTCAAATCAAACACCTAACCAAACAGTTCATGTTGGAGGCATCAATCAATCAATGTTATATTATAAAGGGAGTTATTTTCCTATCAATTTACAATCAAAAGGAATGCTGTAAGATGATTATATTACTGTTTTTTCTCCTTATTTTTGTATTATGATCCTTCGTCTTATAATGTCCTTGAATTGAAAACGATAAGACTTATATGAATGCATTTTGTACATACAATCATATATTATTGACTCGTATAATTTAATAAACTTGGTTTTTACCATCTCCCGATATAGTTTAAGTTCGCTGTTTTTGATTTTGAGAGTATGATACACAATTCATTCATCAGGAAATCTTTAATTGTTAACTAATAGATTTTTTTATGTAATTCTCCTTTTCGATAACGTTGTTTCACTTTTGATAGTACATTTATCGATTCCATATTTTCATGGGTTTCAAGCTATGCTTTATAGTTTATATAACAAACGAACTTTGGCTAAGCAACTACTTAAATGAGTAAAGCACTGTCCAGTTGTTTTGTTGGAGTATGCTACTCCTCGACTGTGGGGATCCATGGCCCTAGAGGGCGGTGAATCTAGGACTTTCAAGGGGTCGTAACGAGCATTTAACTTTTAGACCAATGAGTTGGTGTTCAATAGTCCACATTTATAACTTCTATGTCTTAAATAGTTAAGAAGTTATTAAAAAGCGATTTTAACACTGCGTGTGTTGTATGTATGTCAGTTGTGTTTTCATTCACTTCACTTTAGATTCATTGTTTTTTTCTTTTTGTTTGGTTTGTTTTTACATTCGATCATTATTTAGACTTGAAATGCTTGATCGTGGTGAACCACCAATTTTACCTGATGGTTATTGTCTTTCACTAGCTGTAGTATGCTTACGTAAAACAGTGGATTCATTAAAAATCATTATCAATGCTAATGTTCCTGAAATTATTTGTCATGGTGATGATGAAAAGAATAAAAAGAATGAGGATGATACTTCAAAAAAATATGATATTACATTTTGTAAACTTATTGTATCTAATTCATGGTGCGGAATATTATCCACGTTCAGTTTATTACTTGAATCAAGGTAAGTATATATATATATATATATATATATATATGTTGTGTATATTACGTTTGTGTATTACGTGTTCAGTCACACAAGCCCATATAAACATGATAATAATAACACAATGATATAGATACATTGTTCCTGATTACCATGATTCTGTCTGTCAAATGAGTCATTTGAAGGGTGTAACTGAATTAAGCGTACAAAGACTCAAGTGCGGATGTGCTACTATAATAAACTACCATCTGCAAACAAAAATGCAAGTGTCTGTGTTTACAAAACTCGTCACACTGGGCAGAATAACTACGATATACAGAAAATACCATGCCATTCAATATTCCAATGTAAGATAAATCTATTGTGTAAGCTAAGATATGTTCGTCGAAATGTAAGTCTTCGTACTTTTGTACGACCAGTTAAGGTTATAATAGATCAAAATAATTTACTTTCAGTTTTTTATAAATATTAAAGGAAAATTTCAACGAAAATCATTGCTTGTTAATAGTGGTGGGACTTCAGCCAAACGCATATTAAAGCTTGGGTAATAAACAATTCAATGAAATCTGTAATTATTATCTGAGCCACTACCTTGAGAACAAAAGGTTTCGTATGAAAGTAAATAGAGCGTATGCGAGCTGACAAATTTCAACATCATGAGTTTCACAAGGATTAGTCTTATGTTGAAATAGTTAAAATTATTTTTTTGATCATTATTAATCACATGTACATGAAACTAACTGCTTCAAATCATATATATATTCATATTTTTAATTGTACCAACATGAATAAATTTATGTCCATCGAATGAATAGACATATAATTCCGATTTGAATAGAGAAGACTGATAACTTAACATTACCATTTACATACCCATCAATACAAAAGAATGTATTACACAATTACTGTTGACCGAAGCGCTATTTTATCTATATACATTTCATACTAAAAATTGTGATATTTTTGGCTTGGGTTATTAACCATATTAATGCAAAATTATATGTTAGCGTTGTTATATAGTCAAATAACAAAAATTGTACGAATATTTGCATTGAATAATAGCTTTCCTACTTATAAATGAAAGTATAAAAATTATATTAAACAGTTGATTCATATCATTTGAATAGTTTGTACCGTGAAGCAAAATCATATTTACTGACATAAATAGGTCAACTGATTAAAACAGGTAGATTGGAAAAATCATGTCAAATTGATATCCAATATTAAGTGAAACGACACCGTCAAAATTCTTCTAGTGGCTTTCCTCATATAAATCGCAAATAGGTCAACTTGTCTGCGAAGATTTCCAATCATGAGTAAAAGATACATTGTCAAAATCTCACTGCTGTAGAACTACACACTAATTATTAAGCAGGTCAGCTGGATATTTTACAAAGTTATAGATTTAGTAACAAAATAATTACACAGTGATTTCCGTTTAGAGCGCAAACTAAATGACTATTGTTATTACCTAGCGTTATAAAAAAATATAAGTCGAATACCAATAAACAATATTGTTGAAAGACCCTAAACGGAATCCTGTTGCGTTGACTTTGAAAGCATGCTGATATCTCCAACGAAAAAAGGTGTTATTAGATATGGCATTCATTTACGGTGTCCATGAACATACTTAAAATTATATAATACTTCATGCACAGGAAGTCACCCTGAACTGTTCTCAGAAAACAAATACTATGACTTAGTACGCGTTATCCCCAATTTCTCATCTGCTAACCAGAAGCATTGTCACTGTTTGGTGCATACATTTACGTTCTTATCATTAGATTCATTACTGGACTCCGGAGTTTCTGCACAAAACTACGCCTGTTTGTTTGTTATGATCGTGGCTTCATTGTCACTACTGCGAGCCGATACATCAAAGCTTATATTGGGGAAAATCTCGTTGTTATTGTGTGCAGTTAATGTTTCGAAATCACCTGTCAAGTAAACTTCATGATAAAGATTAGACTGATCTGAGCGTTTTGATGGCTTAAGTATGTCAGTACACATCGAAATTGCAGCGCCGATATCGGTAAAGAGAAGATAGTATCCTTCTAATCATCTGTCAAACGACGATGAGCAGCAACCCTTAACTGAAAGCCATCGATCACCTTGTTATTGCATATAAGCCTTCGATTAATCGAACAATTATATGAGATTTACACCCACACACAATTGATTGTCTATAGAACTAGATACAGAATTTATTGTGAAACCAACCTTTGTATTACGTTAAACTTTTTCGGTCACTGTGGATAACCTTTATTTTGTTTACATATTTTAGATATATACAATTTTCCTGAAGTATAAAGTAATAAAAAGTTTCATTCTCATAAGTTTAGGGGATAATTCGTTCATCTTTGAGCTAGTTTCCTATTGGAACTCACCTACACCTACATAGATACGAGTAACTGAGTGGTGTCATAAAGGCTCACATTTAGTGTATGACTCACTGAACTGATGAACGAGTTGATTTTGTGAAATTAAGATTCATATAAACTTCCTGTCTACACTGAAATTTTGCTCTCGTTAGAAATCGTACATCTACAAACAATTCATCTGAAATATCTATGATCATGATTCAATACGGATAGTTCAACTTCGTTACTTTTATGCCTTAGAAAGTCATGTGTTTCTTTGGCTCTCCAGAATTACACCCTTTATTGATCAGAAAGTGCAGAGAGGTGGAATAAATATGTGAAATTTGAACAGGTTATTGTGACTTTTGTAAAGAATAATCCAATTCGGTTGTATGTTCCTTCCTTCCATTCCAGTAAAATTAGTGAAAGCCATTTTGAAGTGCTCACTTATCTGTTTGGTGATTGTTAGAATATATTGCTAGTTGTAAATTCTGGAGTCCCACAAGGTTATTAGATGTTTTTGTGTAGCTCAGTGGTTCCTCGTCACCAGTCGAAATCCCACGAGAAAACTCGGATGTAGAATGAATCACAATGGACGTCTAATCTACAGACAGTTTTATATGAAGTGTTAGTTGAACGTTGATTTGAACTAAAACCTTCACAGTGTTGGATGTTTTATAGAGTTCCTGAATTCTCTATTCGTTCAGGATTATTTGTAGTTCCCTCGTCAGATTATGGCAATGAAGGGAAGCTGCTGTAAAAACCGTGTGCTATTACCTTCGAGTAGTTCACATCTCTAACTGCTTGTTCCCTGCATACTTATGTTTATCAAAATGCTTTGTGGAAAGCATATTTCCTTCTTCATGTAAGACACAATTAAGTTTTTTTTTGTTGTTCACAGGCCGACGATTAAGTGAAAACCTCCCTGGGTGGCTTGGAATAGGCCAAACAAATATAATACGTAACTCTGTTTTATCAAACATAATCAACAGTAGTAATGTAGTAAATAGAACTAAGTGATTTCAAGTGACCTTTATAGTTTCCCACTGCTATTCGACCTAGTCTTCTACAGAAGAAGGTATGGCTGTTCAATAAAGGCCATAAATTTGTAAGATCCTTATCTCTGCCTGCTCCAGTTAAAACTTAATAGACGATGTTAATAATTTTTACAATCTCTGTTTCCTTATTTCATATTGCTTGCGTACCTCTGCACTATGTATGTATTTAAACAGATTGTTCACATTTCTTTTTCGAGTAAATTTTATTGATTGTTATCTTAAAAAGTTTAGTTTCCCCAAATTTTCATCTACTTCCTATGTTGACATTCCCCTTACTATTCAGTTAGTTGCTCACTTGACACGTTCATCGGTTAAAGTTACTGTTCTACATTAACATAACGAGATAAGATTAGTAAGACAGATCCAGGAGAAATAAAAGTACTAGTGTAATGTACGAAGAAGTCCAGACCAGATGAAATATGTAGATTTGGAGAAGTAATTTATTTGCAAAATATGTACACGTAATTTTCAAGCATCTATTTGCAATAGAGGCAGTCTTCTGACTATCTTCTCTAACATCTCTCCTGGTCTGCTGTCCACTGTAATCACGATACGCATTTTGATCTCCAGATACTCTGGTAGTAACATATAGATGATGCTTCGCTGCATCCTCTTTACATGGCACCTTGTGAGAAGCATCCACCATACTAGTACACATAATCTTACTATCAATTTATAGTTCTATGCTGATTATCGTTAATTATATAATTTATTCTATTATTCCGCATCAATGACTCATAAAGTGGCTTGATTTGTCTAATATTTTATAAAAATCTATACAAATATTGCTTATGATTAAGTTTCAGTCGAGCACACTGTTGTTTAATTATATGTCGTCCAAACAATTCAAATCTGTATAATGTGTGTGTGGATAAGGTAGCAACAATCAGGGACACGTGTGGTCTAACTGCTATTCCATTTAAATTTCTGTGGTTGTTACACTTCCAATATCTGATGCCAAATGTGCCAGAATTTCGTTAAACACTTGAGGGAGTTCTCACGCTGCTAATTATCCAACTCAAAAAGATTTATAAAAATTTTAGTTATTCCTTTCCTGTTCATTAATCACGTATTTCATGTTGCCAAACTGAACTAAAAATATTTAAAATAAAAAGTCTACATAAATCAATCTTTACTTATGGTTTTAAATTTTTTTGGAAATTGCATCTCCTAATTTTCAGTACACTACGCAATTTTAACTCGGGTCAAAAATTGAATGAAACATTTTTTTCACTCAGTTACCTGTTCCTCTTATAATTGGATGCGAATTATCTAGATTATTTAGTGTTGATGCCCCACAAGGTACTTACAAACTTGATAAAGCGTAAGTATATCGCGAAATTCTCATTGAATTTCGCACATTGGCACTCTGTCGGGAATTAAATGATTCGTTTTTGACCGAGTCCAAGAATTATTCGTGTATACAGCTAAGCTAGGCACTTTTTAAAAGTATCTTTATAATGAATTAGTTAACCATTTTAATTACTTTTTAAAAATCTATTTGAATATAGTGCTGATCATCACATTACATCAAATCTTCTTCAGTCTTTGCAAATTATGATTGAATTAAGTGGAAAGTTACATTTGGATGAATCTCGAGATGCTTTCTCTCTCACATTGTGTAAAGCTGCGTTACCATTTTCATTTGGACGTTCTTTATTGGCTGCACACTCTAAAAGTACGTTCTATCGTTTATATAAATAATAAGCTTATTAATGCTATTTCATTATTAGTTATAGTCATATCATGAAGGGTGACTAGCATTGAAATCCAGGACTTGGATCTAGTGCTATGTGTCACTAGTCAGATAAATGTATGTGTATTCTAATTTTGATATATCGTGGTTCAGAAGCTAAACCGTTATACACTTAACTATTGGGTCATCGTAATCACTGACTTTTTCTTACTAAATTTAGTGTTCTCATGTTGTTGGTAAAATTGTAAACTGATCTAATCAGTTTCGTTTTCGTTGAATCAATTGTTGAGAATTGTACCTCAATTATTTGGTGAACAACACTAGGATTTGAAGTAATACTTATTGGGATGAGGTTTTAGTAGGGTTAATAATATGAAGAATGGATGTTCAGTCCGGTTAACTGTTATCAACTTGTAGATACTGTCAGATTCACTGGAATAACAGTTGAGTTCACATGAATAACTTACCCGAGGTGCTATTTAATTCAGAAGGCTGTCTTAGTTACTCGGAAATTTATATATATATATATATATATATATATATATATATATATATATATATATATATATATATAATTTGTAATTCATAAAAATAGTCCAACGTAAAAATGACGTTTTCAAATGCCTGTTTCTGCAAAATTTATGTCAATCAATGAGAACATAACCAATTTGTCGAAACATCATTCAGCCAATACAATACTAGAAAAAGGGAATGAACCCTGACAACTAATAAGTAATATAATCATAGACGAGAATCTCACAGATACAAACTTACTAGAAAGCACTAACCAAATGGACAATCTTTTGTGTTTTACGCACTTGATTTAATTCACATGCTAATCCATAAACTTGTACTAAATAACTAAATTTTATAATTCGTATCATGTGCCTTTAGGTTTTCGTAGCTCTTAATGCAGACAAATATTCACTGTATATTTATTTCGTTTGATCGATGTTTGAGCATCAGCTAGTATCTTGGCAGTAGTGAAACGTAAGAGGAAAATGACAAACTTCATTTGGTTACTGAACATATGGTCATCCTGAATAGATCGGTTCAAGACGTAATCTGTTAACTACATATTTCATTGTTAATCAAATCATTTTACTTCTAATATACCAATCTCAACTTTAGCAGTTATTTTTCTTAGTTTAGTACATTTACAGTTACAGACTCAGTTATAATAATTTCTTTGATGTGTTGTTGAATAAGGGAGGGAAAAAGAGTTAGGCATTTTTAATTTCAATACGATCTCCGAAAAAAATTTCTTTTTATCAATTATTCCTTATATTATCATCATTTAAAAAATATAATTTTGTTTTTAACTCATACCTAGATCGTTTAATAACATCTCAGTTATCTCCTAATTTCAATAGTGGAAATAATCACGATGAAATATTTGAACGTAGTCAGGTTGCTTTAGTGATTACTCAAGGTGCTGGTCATACAATTCATATTAATCCACCTTCAAATACTTCATCTAATCTTCAAAATTTATCAAATCAGGCTACATCTACTGGACATACCCAAAGTGGATCCGCACCAACTGGAAATACAGATTCTTTGTCAACTGGTAACATACTACTAACTGCTAAACATTTACAAGCAGCTTCTGCTGTTTTAGCAACTGCTCATGCACATGGTGATGTTTTAGATTCATCATGGATTATATTTCTGACTACAATGCAGGTATATTGCTTTTCTAAAACTTTACTTTTGTCTAACTTATTAAATTTTCAACTTTGATAAGAGTTCAAAATGTCTTGATATTCGTCTCTGTATTCAACATGTAGTTTTAATCAATGGTTACGATATATCTATTAAAAAGATTTACTGATTATTGGGTGTTCACAAAATATCTCTCAGAAAAAGGCAGTCAGTAAAACCTAGATAAATACTGCATTATGTTTCCGGTTTTGATTCGATAGTTACTTGTATTGTCACCAAATTCGGTAACTTCCGGAAAGCCAATATAATACAAAATCTATTAATAGATTTGATTTTCTGTTCCTGAATTTACCAAACCTGCATAAATCATTTTAATCATATTCTAGAATTCTAGAATTTTAGAATTTTTGTCGTTCATTCAACAAACCTATTACTAATGTTCATTCAACATTATTTGTATACTCTATATTACATTATGAGTGTTCATTGTTTATTCAAGCATCATATAGGTTCACTCTTTGATTACTTTGTAATTGTGTTAATTTGGTTAGTGAAGGTAAAGTTCTGTTATAAGTTCTAAGTGTTTAATCATAGAAAATTTCGGAAGATTGCTTGTTTGTAGTGTCTTCAGTTAGGTTTAAGTTCTTGTTTATGAATGACAAATAATTCTTTCAATTACAAATTTTCATCCACTCAGTACATATATTGCCTACGTTTAGTCATCTCTCAGGCTAGAAGAAAGCTGAAAGCACATAAATTAATACAGAACCACTCAGTTGAGTTATTGATCTGTAGATTGAACCGCAATTCACATATGATCTTTTAGGTTAGTGTGTATATGTAGTGATCGTAATCTATAGTTGATTTCATTCAGTTGTACTTTCCAAAATCCATTTTAACATCAGCGCTGTATTCATTATTTATCATTCGCCAAAGCTGAACTTTTATGTTTTTTCATTCTTTCTCTTTGTCTGTTTCATTTGCTTCTTTTTGAAGTATATCTCTTAGTTTTAGTTTGTTTTATGATAGTTAATATTTTCTCCCTTTCTGTATTTTTCATTATGTTTATTGACTACTTCCATGTAACTACTGTTGATGCAAATTGTAGTAATCTAAACAGTTATGCCAGATTCTACATTGTCTGCTTTTTCAATCATACATCTGATCGTGTTGTTTCTTTTTAAAGGCTTAAAGTTTTCTTCAATTCAAATGACTATATACTTATTTGTTTGCATGTTTTTTTCATTACATGTTGACCTTTCTGTCCTTGATCATAAAAATAATGATAATAATAATGATAATTATTTTTGTCACCACTGGATATTATTGTCGCAGTTCCCAATCATGCTGATGAAATATTGACTTAGCTATTCAGATTGCAACAAATTGAATGTAGTGACTTGACAAATATTTGTTCTTAAAAGAACTAACTGTTATCTTTTCATTTGTAACAAAAGAATAAGTAGACTGCTTTAAATGGTACAGAAATTCGTGTCTATGATATCGTTTGTTTACTTGTGGAGTAGAATTGACAATTGAACAGTTGTTATCCGTTTACTAGATACTGAAATAGTGGATGCAAATCAATAATTGTTTGTCAACATTCCTGTTGATTGATGCAAAGGTCTAGTGTAAAGCTCCTTTTATCGATTCAAATAAATGACAGACAATTTTATTCCTCAATGAATCCGAAGTTTCTTTTTTCCCAATTTCTTAAATCAATACAAAATGTTTTTGACGGTTGTTTTTGTTGATTTCAATGTGTAAATAGCAATTTACATAATTCCTTATAGATGATCACTAAAGAATGTTTGATTGTTTCGTAAAATGCAAATGAAATTCACATTGGGTGAAACCTTTTCGATGTTGTTTTTTTAAAACGAACAGTATACTCCAGAAAAATTATATGTTCATGTAGATAGATATCAAGGATTGATTTGCAATAATTAGTTACAATAAGCATAACCTGCCACTATTCATTGCTAGTTATAGCGCCAAAATAACACTGTATTGAACAAACTGTTATTTTTGTTACTGTTAAATTTTGTCTACACTTATTTATTCTTATTCACTAGTTAGTTTACAGAAAAATGTTTTTGAATTGATGTTGTGTCATTATAAATGACTGGTTGTTTATTTATTCAGTTGATTATTTATTTTTAATTAGCCCCATCGATTTGTTATAGTTCGTTTTGATGTTTGTTATAGGTTGGTTGTTGAGAAAATTAGCTTTCATTGTAAAGAAGAATTTGATTTTAAATCTGTTAAGTAATAACTAGATTGTTGAAGTATTTAGTTTTCAAGCATTCCTGTTGTAATTTCTAACTTACTCTATTCACTTTAACTTGTTCAGTTATGTATATAAAATTATAGTTGGTCAACAAATTTTATTATCTTAGGAGGTTTTAGTACAAGTTAAACCTCAACTGTATTTCGTTGTAATTTTAGCCTTCTTGAAAAAGACCAGGTTCAGTGGTAACTAGCGTCAGAAGAATTCAAATTATTCTAATCAATTTCTGTCTCTCCTACATTTTAACCGTTAATTCCTAATATAAACTAGATATATATAACTTGGGTGATTGCTTATTACAACTATTATAGATTTAAGTGATAAGTTTAAATGAACTTTTTGAATGACTTATCAATGTGCGAACTACTCATTGGACCAAATCAAAATGGATACTATGGGGTTCCTAATCAAAGCTTAATTGTTGAAAAGCAATATATTTTAAACATAAAAGCGTATTCTTTTGCTTAAATTTTTATACTTTTCTGTCTAACTGATATCTTATTTAAATTAAAATTTACAGCATTTAGTATGGATGTTGAAATTGAAAATTGAACCATCGGCTAAATTATTTTTCAAACCAGTTCAAGAATCAAGCACTAGTCATACAACAATGGAAAATGTTAATTCATCAAATGCATCAAATGAAAATGCTACTACTGGTACTACTACCACGACCACCACTACTACTAATACTACTAGTATCACTACTTCGAATAGTAGTAACAATAATAACCAAGTTCCAATACAACATATCTCTGTGACAACACTTTTCTCAGTGACATCTGAATTAACATCATTATCATCAATGCTTACACAGATTTTTGTCCAATCGAAGTAAGTAGTTATTTTTAACATTACTTGAGTTCTGTGTTACTTATTTGTGTTTTTTCTGTATATAATATAAAATAGAAATCTTCAAAACCACTGACCACTCAACTAAGAATAGCTTTTAAGCTTACATGTTGAAACTTGTAAAGCAATCGATTTACGATAATGTTTCTGTTATGTCTTGCTACATATACGCCTAAACTGTCTGCTACCCGATTCCTATAACTCTGACTACTACACATGTCAATTAAAATGCTCGAGTGAGAATGAGCGAATCGCGAGTGAAAGCTTTTCTTTAAGGTAAGTTCATTTACAGGAAAACAAGGGTGTTTATCAAGTTACACACGACTTTGGACCTTTGGAAATTTTCGAAACCATTCTAGATATCGAAAATTCTTCCCAATCCTAAATAAATAAAACTTTTATGGGCTTTTAGAGACCTTTACTCGGAATATTTTAGAATTCTTTTAACATTATTCACTTTTACTGTTTGTATTTTCCATCCAAACGATAAAATATATTATTAAAAATGTTGATTGTAACACAACTCATCTTCATTTGTAAAACTGAGAAATATTTTTTTCAATTTGTTTATGTTTAGTTCACTTTCTAATGTTTTATAATATATATCCCTTTCATTGATCCGTTTTTCTTTTGTCTTAACTATAAAAAAAGGAAATATTTTATGATACATAGTACAAGTTAGTTAAGTTTTAAACTATGATCAGTTATTGTTATCTCAGTTATACATTATAATATTACATTATATTATCAATTAGTGATATGAATAAGTAAGATATAAGGAAATTTTAAAAAGTTTAAAATATTTCATTGTTATACTTCTTAATTGATTGACTTCAGTTCCTAATGAAAACACTTTCCAATGTAAATTAATCTTTAAGCTAAATAAAATTTACTTAATTCATTCCTATATTACTAATAAATTAAATTAATTCTGAGAATGTTGATAAGGTCAATACCATTTTTTTAATACTGATTGGACATTTCAAATATACATAATTTTAACTTGGTCGTTATTTAATAAATTTGAAAACAATTATAAATTCTGAAAAGATTGTTTTTTCTTTTCTATTTTACTGTAAAAATTAGTTAACTGACTAAATTTGGAAATTGTTGTTTAAACCAAGTAATTATCTACTTTGCAATATTCTAAGGTTTATTGTTTTTCGCTTTTTTACTTCTTAACTTTTAAATGAATTTTATTCATTGAATTTCCAATGTGGTGGGCATTTTAAGTTTATCGATTTACATTTTGTCGTGTACTGGTAGAGCTATTTGATTGCAAGGTGTGAACATCACTTGATCTAGGCATAAACAAATAGTATCTGTAGCTGATTCATCTAAAGCATTGTTCAAGTATGAGTGTACGAATCCATGAAACAGATAATATTTACGATGTTTATTCATGTTTCAATTAATCTGTTTCTTCAGAAATTGTTTGTTACTTAGCCTAATGAATATAATAGTACAATTGTGTTTATTAAGCATTAGTTCAGTAAGAATACTCAAACTGTGTAGAGTAGAACTGTTAATTCACCTTTCTCGGTATATTATGCTGTCAGAAAACTATCACTCTATCTAATAATTAGATCTAACCCTTAATGCATATATGCCTGTTTTATTGTTGTCATTCAAGATATAATTCCTATCTTGCCTTTTAGCTTTTAAATTGTAATAAATAAAACATGCCTTGTTAATATTTCCAAAAAGCCTTTTACTTATTATCTAACTTACATTGTACAAACTAGATTTGTCTTATTGACATTTAATTTAGTACAGTAATGTTACTTTCCAATAACATGGCCTGTAAACTTACTAACTGAATTGGATTTAAATAAAATGTATCGAATTTTAACAAGTTTATTAGAATAAATAACTCAATTTTATACTATTTTCGAATAGATACCTACTTTGAATTTTTTTTCTCTCTCTCCCTCCAACAATAAATCTTTCACAATACGCACAAAAAGTAATTTGAGTGAAGATGCTTTAAACAATTTCATCTCAGCACTTTGTTTCCTTTCATCGGAGGCATTAGAAGCAGTGAAAAACAATCGGGTATGTTCATATTTTATTTTTGGGTAAATAAAAAAGATGAGAATATTGATTGTACACTTTTTCTCCATATTATCACTTAGTAAGTTAATTAAAGTCTTATCCTTGGCCTATGTACATTCACACTTTTGTTTTCGATAAAATATTTAATCTGTTAAAGGACATGAGCACTACATCCTATTCTCTAGTCTCGTAAGTCAACTAATTAGTCAGATAAAACATGGGACTTCGTACGTACGTACGTACATCAGTACTGGTTGCCATACCACATTAGCACACAAAGATAGAATTGTCAATTCAAATTCCGTAGTAGTATTAGCAGTAATCGAGAACATTAAAGGTCAGATATATGATTCGAAAAGTATTTTCCAGTGAAATAAATTTAAAAGGAGAAAAACCGTCATGAAGAATTCAGAAGACTAGAATTAAAGAGAAAACAAAGACTGGATTCATCTGTTCTATTGCAAACGATTTTGAGCCATGTCATTCATGTTTCTAACCATCGGTTACGATTGCTCT